TATAGTGTTGGGATGTTAATGTGGGAAATATTTGCAGGTCATCCACCATTTGATGACAGAGCTCACAATCATTGTTTGATTTTTGATATATGTGCAGAAGGTTTACGACCACCAATACTACCTGGGATGCCAGGAGATTATGCACAAATGATGCAAAGGTGTTGGGATGTAGATCCATCAAAAAGACCAACTAGTAGTGAGCTTTATGATTTCGCTCATAATAAACGTAATGAAATTTTTAGTAAGAATAATAGTTTAATAAAAAGATTATTCGAGTTTCTTAAAATTAAAAATCATGATAGCAGCAGCAGCGGTGGTAATAATGCTTTGCAACAAGCACACAAATCACACCCAGATGCATATCATAAAAGTAGATTATTAGATGAAGAGATTGCTAAATCGAAAAGCTTGAAAATTTATACAAGTAATGATAGTTCGTTAAACAATCTTGATTTTAACTCTTCTCTCTAAAATGTTGAAGGTGAATAAAAATTTCATTATTAATTAATTAATTGGAACTTACTATCCATTAATTATTACTAATAATATTTTTTTATTTATATTAGATTCTAATAATTAAAAGAAAGAATCGATGAATGACTAATTTAATCTCCACTATAAATTATTATTTGTCTTTTTATTTTATCTTTATTTTATTCTTAAAGCTAAATTATGATAATGTTTTGAATAATAAACTTTTTGATTCTTGTTATCATTTCAACCTTTTGACCACTCTTGTAAGTTAATTGCAAATAATTCAGTGCTTGTCAATTAATTAGTTTACAAACTTACTTTGGCTCACTTTTTCTTGCACTTAGATGAATCTGTGAGCGCACCTAATGGTACCAGATAATTGTAAATAAATAAAGATGGACTCAAGGGCTTCTATAAAGTCCCTTTTATTCATTTGTAATTGATTTATTCATTTACATTCATTGGCCAATTGCAACCTCACTTTGGTTTACTTGCAAAACAACTTAAGTAGCTTGTTAACAAACAGCCTTACATTTATGATTACAATAATACTACCAGTATTTCCAATTAACCTTTGGATGATGTTTCATTAACATCCACTTGTTAGTCCAAACCTTTGCTTACTCGCTAAAGCAAATCATGGAGGAATTTCTGATTAATTTGATATTATGATGATATGGAATACCATCACATTCTACTACAATCCATTTACGTATTTCATCCTTAATTCCTAATATTTTCTTTGCGTGAAGGCGAACCTTTTCAACACTTGACGTAAGTAAAAGCGTAGCAATAATGATAATGATCAATAGGATTCCAAATTATATAAAAATGTGTGTCCCAAGGATGATGAATAAAGAATCATTATATCATTGTATGCATATTGCAATGATGCAAGAAGAATAATTATCATGGGAAGTTTGCAAATGTTATAATTTGAATTAGAAATTTTACTTTATTAAATTACTTATTTTTCCTCTTTTCTACAAATTAAAACCATTCTTTTATTATTATAATATTTCATAAAATGTAAATGTTTTTTCAAAATTTTAACTTTGAAGTTAGCTACGCGTAATAGTGATACGCAATAATATTAATAGTATGCTTGAGCTGTCTTTGGTGTCTGAGTTTGAAATAACATAGATTGATCAATATTGGTACTTAGAACGAACGACCTTTACATAACACATAAAGACAGGTTTTGATACATATTTTCATAAGTTTTAATTTTGTTTTCTATTTTTATCACTTTTAAATCTTCAAAGAATTTCTTTTATTGTTGAATCATGATTGTTCTTTAAATAATGCATCCTTATCAATTAATATTGATATTAATCAAAAAATATTGTACGAAAAAATTGTTTGTTTCACGTCATTCATTCAATCATTCTTCAAGAAGATGCAAAAGTGATGTTCCTCAACAACAAGTTGTTTGATCATGGAATTTGCAATGGGTCATGATAATCAAAATTACTGATACTCAAAACGTTGAAGTGACCTTTCTGACAACCGCAATACCACAAAGGTGACTGTGCAAAAAGAAACCACTTACTTTGATATCAATGGAAGCCCTCCATCAAGGTAACAATTTCCTCTGCATAATGCCTTCGCTTTTACCGTGCACAAAACCCAAGGATTGACATTACCTCACAAAACTGTCAACATTGATGAAAATATGTTTGCGCCTGGTCAAGTATACGTAGCTATGAGCAGTGTGCCTTCTTGGGACTTGCTTGAGATCTTGGATTTCAACTTTTCTTGTATAAAATTGATCAATCCATGATTTGAGAATATACAAGATTAAAAAGCGTGAATCAGAGAGGTCTTGGCCAAATTAAAAAGTAGCAAAAGCAATTGATCAATAAAAGCTCACTGCGCGCTCCCTGGTAAAAGCTTGTTAATAGTTTCAATCAGTTCATTTGTTGCCATATTGCACAATTGACGTTTTTTGAATATTGACATGTATTTGTTTTATTGTTATCTATAATAAAAGGTGAAATTAAAATAACATCATTATTGTCGTTTATTTCATCTACTCGGAATGAGTCATCATCATTCATATTATTATATATACATCAGAATCAAATTCTTCTTCTGAGCTTCGTATTTTCAATTCGAGCAGTTTTGTAAAGTTGAAAATTGTTCTTCGTCTTTGCATACAGCACCCTTTACATGATGATTTAAGTAATCTTCACCCAGCATCTATTAAACTTAGTTTTACCACAAAATGCAAACAATTTCCTTAGCATGAATAATATGGTAAAAACGATCAAATTTAAAAGTACTCTTACCTAACATAGTGATAATTTACCCAATTTATTTGATAAAGCCAATTCATTTTCTAATCTTTATATATATATATATATTGCTCTGGCACTCGGAAAAAGTATCCTTTTTACAATAAAGTAATTTACACATTATCCTCTTTTTTAATGGTGTCAAAATAACCTTGTTGATTTACAAGTTTATTTGCAAGATCAATTCGTTGCAGAACGTTTTATTTAGATTGATGATGAAGTATCAGTACAAGAACTAACTGACGAAGAAATTGTTAGAGCAGTGGAGCCAAATCCTGAAGTTGACAATTCTGATGAAGTGGAAAAAGTATATAATTATCAGATAGTTTAGACAGATAATTTTACAATTAGTTACCAAGAATTAAAAACAATTTTATTTTCTTTGTTATATATATATATTGTGCATAATTTGTTAAAAAATTCATCCCGTTGTAAGGGACTTTTCAATTTATTTATAATAAGTTCGCTATAAAGAGTTTTTTTTCTTTATAATCACTAGTACGTGTTCCAATTTTAAGAAATAATCTACAAAGTCTTTTATTCAGGCTGTTTGTTCTATATTAAAACTATTATGTGTGACGTAGGCCAATTGGGAAGGCTGTAATGATAACTATATGTGCTCTTTTAGGATATGCGAAACACAGTAACGCCTAATCCATGTCGTCGCTAATAACATAGTGACGATTTTGTGTGTGAAAATTAAAATTTATACGTGAAAAATTAAATTGGTCAATCAAAAAGGAATTTCAACCCGTGTTTATGTAAAAGAATCATTATATTAAAGACCATTTATGGGAAGCAATCATTAAGGAAAAAAAAAATTATGTAAATAATATTAATAATATTAAATATTGTTTGTTTACGTTCCATCCTAAAAAAGAAATAAATTATTTTCATCATCGTATATATATACTGTATATACAGTTATTATTCTTTTTTTTTTCTTTTTTTTTTTTTAAAAAAAGGAAAACATTTTTTTTTATGACCCATTAAATTATTATTATTAATTGGGCATAAATATATCCAACTCAAACGATTACAACAACCAGCTCAACCAATACAACAATGCATGCTGGTCAACCTCCCTCCTCCTTCAGCTCAAACAACACTTGTTCAACGGTATCTTATTCGACTCAACAATAATTACAACAAATATCAAAAAAACATACCGAATGGTATCAAATAGAGTTTACTGATTCTGTTGTCCGCTGAAACAAAGTCCTGGAGACCAAGTGTCCCGTAGAGTATGTGAAAGGAAGATGCACGGGGTATGACGGGGACTCTGGGCCTGTTTGCCTTTCATCCGAGCCTCTTTGATTAGACCTGGTTTTCAATATGTTTCATTTTTGCTGGCCAGGAGCCTCGCGGTGGTATCAGCGGACAATTTTATTAATTCTGACACCAAATGATAAAATATCAGAATTATACAATTAAAAAATTTTTTAAACACTGAAATTTACTTCCCTATTGACGGGAATAATAGAATGACCTTTTTTATGTTGAGCGTGTTTAAATTTTTCTGCATGGTTTTTGTTCTTAGAAAACACGAGCGATGCAATTTTTTGTTATACCAGAATTAAAAAAAAAATAATGATAGTAATACGCGCATATCTCTCAAGTAGTAGGCAGGTATGATTATTTATTGTATTGCGGATTTGGTATATATTCTTACAATACATGAATTAATTAATAAAAAATCTTTAATAATAATATTAAAGCAAAGGACGTTGAAACAGTCGTCTTAGATGCTCTTGTATTTCAAAATGGTGAATTTTATTTTTTTGTTTTGTTTAAATTTTAAATTAATATATAACTTAAGATCATCATCATTTATGTATATATATGTAGATTATTCCCGTTATATCATCTGATTCTACGAAACAGACTTGGTTCTGATGGTTCTCTAGGCATTTTCTTAAAGTATCTCGGCTTGGAAATATAATTTCTTAAGAAAATAAATCCCATGTAGAACAACTCTATAAACAGGTTATAGCATAAATTTCAACAAATAAATAATATTCCATGTCGCAACCCAAAAAAGGGGACAAAGTGGTCGCAACCAGTGTCACGATCATTTTTATACGATGCAAAGGTGATTGGAAACATCATCAAAAGTTGCAGCCGGTATCCTTAAAATCAATCACACGTTCTGCAAAATCTTTGTTCCGATTTAAGCAATCATTTGCCAATCAATTTTCACGGACATATGATTTTTATGATTTTTGTACAAGTATCATAGTACAAAATTTAAACTAAGCAACAATGGCAGTCCTCGATATATTTATTTACCCATAGAATTAATATCTTCTTCAAAAAAATTATTGTTCCAACGAACGCTATTGTCTACTGCATTTCTATTTAAATCATAACTATTCTCATCAAGATAATTATACACCTTGACAATGGTCAGCAATGCAAAAGCGTTTCCTGTCACAGCAAACCTTACTGTCCGCACAGCTCCTTCTTTGAGTGCTAAAAAAGTTCGTACTGTTCCTATCGGTTCACATGTTGATATAGTTTGCCAAACCACTGGTGACACTGTTCAGGGCATCAACATCTGGGATAAGTTGATTGATGGAAACTTTGTCTCCGATGTTTT